GCGGGGCCATGGATCCCTAAGTCAGCGGATCCTATATGGTCATTAGACCCTGTGTTGTGTTGGTTTAATGCTTTGCTGTCACCATTTTGAGATTCTTAATAATCTTTGAACAAGGCATTTCATTTTGCACTTGGTCCTGCAAATTATGTAGCCGGTCCTGGGCTCAGCATTTGACTATTTCTGTTCGGATGGAACTCTAATTCCTGTTGTAAGTTGATTTCCAGAGGCTAACTCTTTCAGCAGAAATATTTCCCAATGGATTTTCCTCTTGATTTCAGGAATCCAATATTACATTAAAAAAGAAGTCCCTAGGGCTTTGGATTTATGCTGATGTTTTATAAATGACTTTGTTTTTTACATTTAAAATAAATTTTATGCAACTTTATATTATTTAAAACTACTTAGAAATACTTTATTTTATAGACAGTCTCTTAGTTATATAAACCGTATCTCTCTTGTTTCTTCTACACATTTGAGTTATGATTTATTGCAACTCTCATCTTAACATACATTAGTAAAATCAGTGTTTCAAAAATGATAATGGACAATTTTTTCATGTAACTTAATTAAATCTCTGATTTAGGCTCTAAATCCATTGGGCAAACTGAATTGAATTTGGATCTTGTAAGTTTATGCATTCCTGAATTACCTTTAGTGGGACAGAATATTTGAAAGGTAAAAATGGCTGAAATGCCAAAAATTATGTTTTCTATGTACAGTGATTTAATATGTGGTTTTTGGATATTGAGATCAATTATAAGGCCCTATTTTCTCTCAATATGTTCCTGAGGGAGATATATTTGTTTCTTGGAAAATATACAGTATGTCAACATCACTATTATTGTGCAAGAACACACTGGCTTTGAGGCTCCTATATTCTAAGGAATACTAAGGGATTGACACAATTTAGTTTCTAGGAGTTACAATTTTTTTTTATGTTTCAGTCAACGTAATGCCAGTTATTCAAAACAGCTACATTTATTCACAGATTTCTTCCAGTGAAACAGATTCCATGCTAACATTTGAATGAAATAAACTATAAGTAATAGTTTACAAGTATGTACTATATTGTACTTTTAAAAGCCTATGTTTTATTTTTTCCCTACAAGGTATTTGTTTTTTGTATGTTTTTTATGTAAAAATTTTTAACATCTTTTAAACTCTCTTTTCTATTCTCTATCAACTGCACATTAGTTTCTCAGATACGTGACGGTTTTTCATTTTTGCTCTTTTGCCTTTTTTTCCCCTTTCTCCTCTGCTTCCAGTGAGTGTCATCCTTTCAACTAATTTATTTCCTGATAACTTTCCACACTTCAAAATGTGGTTTTTACTCTACTAGAAGGGAAGTAAAAGGCAAATGGTTTTCATCCTTAAATCCATAATTCCCTTTGTTTTCTATTGAAGAGCTTCATATTAGCTATCA